TTGGAGCGTCAATGGGGGTCCTCCACGTGTCCAGGGTATTCCCCTCCCCAAACACAATACTTTTCAATTGCACTTCTCCCCTAAAATAAAAAAAGACTCAAATGTTATATTACACGTCACATTTACGTGCATCTATATTTAATTATATTCTACAAAAATTTACACCTGATAAAATATAATTTTTCGCATATTTAGATTTCTAAGCTTTAATAATTATTTGTTTTGGTTCCTAAGATTTCAAAATTTTTTGTTTTTGTTAAAACTCTAAAATGTTATATTTTAGTTTTTTTTTCCTTTCTTTCTAGACAGGGTTCTATTTTATTACTTAAAACTCTACCTTAACGAAAATTTGTTTGCGTAAACGTCTAATTTACATGTACTTATCCATATAAATATTTGTGGATAAGGTAAATAATGAAAAATATGTTATTAAGTCAATCCAAGCATTATTTGATAGATATAACATTTATTATGGTTGAATCTTTCAGCATGTAATTGTTGAATTTGAAAAATATATATGTGATTACAAAATCAACAAAAAAAATTAAAAAAATTATTACATCATAGTTTTTTGAAGTTTATAAACTAAAATGAAACCAAGTATAAAACTGCACATGATTTCAACCAATAAATTAGGTTTAAATAGTATTTTGGTCATTATATATTTTTTGCTTTGATTTATGTTGATATTTATACTTTCAGCTTTTGTTTATTTTAGTCATTCTATTTTTCAATGTTTGTTTTGGTCATTTACTTAAAAAGTAGTCGTTTTATTTTCTCTTTGTAAAAATTTAACACATTTTATTCACAATAAAAATCATTTAATATATATCTATGACGAAATGAGATAAAAAAATAAAAATGAAATAACCAAGATAATCATTTTTAAAAAATACAAAGATCAACGTATACGTTTTAAAAGTAGACAATTCAATTGAACAAAATTGGGAAGTATATGAAAAAAACGAATATTTTAAAAGATAAATGACAAAAAATGAATAAAAAATACAAAAATACAAAAATGAAGGATGAAATAAAACACGTGATGTGCATGTGAAGCGTACCTGTCAAATGGCCTTTATTCCCATTATTACGTTTCGTTTTCAACTTCCATGTGGAAATAAAGGGTTGGTTGATTGAACATTAATTAGTTATTTTTTTTAATTTTGTATTTTTTATATTATCATTTTCTTATTTCATGATAGCTTACCGAATCAGCAAAAAGTTGGTCAACTTTTTCCAATATATTTCTTTTTTATTGAAAATACATTTTTAATTCAACCTTTATTCTTCATAATATTAAATAGCTTATTAATATAGAGTCGATGATGCAAAGTTAATGACATTTGGAATAATATATTATTGAGTACAATTATTTTGTTTTATTCAAGACTCTTGTATTTCTCAAAGTTTTGACTGCAATTTTAAGAATTTTATTATTTTAAAAAATGAAGGGTTGAAGATTATTTGGATAATTTTAAAAGTGATCAACCATCGATCTTTTAAAAAGGTTGTCTTGGGTGAAAAAGTCAATTAACTTTTTTTCTATATCCAATTAACTCATATTTAATGAACTATTTTTGATAAGATCAATATTAGAAAATGCTTGTGAATATTTTTAATTTCTCTAAAATCAAAATCAAACTTTTTAGAGTGAAGGTTTTTTATATGGTTATTTGTAATTATTTGATT